TTTTTTCTTTTTGGAGTCGGTTATAAAGGTTACATTTTTATTTAGTGCCAACGCGTAGATTTTCTTTTTTCAAAAACTTTTTCTTCATATTTTAAAGTTTTTACCGTTTCCCTTTTATTTATGCATGTAAAGTGTTCATAAACGAGCCTCAGAATTGCTTCAAGATTACCAAATTCCACTGACAATCTTGGGACGTATCCATGCATAAATTAATCCCTGAAGACAATAGACACGTTACTAGGAATATAAACCTAATGGGATTATTAATAGAGTTCAATTAACAAGATCTGATGCTATATACCACAATTGAATTGCATGTGAGGTTATGAATGTGTTTGGAATAAAGAAATATCAACCTAATAAAAATGATAATAGAGTGCAATTAATGAGATCTGATGTCGGTGTACGTTATATTATACTACAATGGATTGCATTGCAGTGCAAGGAATAAAGAAATACAAATTGTGTTCGTATTCGCAGGTGAAAATGTAGAACACTTGGTCTGAATGGAATGGTGAAGGAATCTATTCAGATTCTATCCTTTGTTGTCTTGAAAATAGGAAACTTTTATAAAATAAGGGTGTATTGCGGTGTACGATGGCCAGTAGGATGGGTGGGAAAGGATGGGTTCCTTTCTGTCAGATTTTTCTATTACATCTTCAACTTTATTTATCTTATAATATTATATGTTATACTCTTAAACTATTATATAAAACGGAAGAGTTAATAACATTTATCCGGTTTTAAAGAGATGAAGAGAAAAGGGTTTTTTTGAGGGTGGAAAATCATCGAATTACTGTTCCCGCCTGGGTGAGGCGGGAGGGACTGACTGACCTGGGTCAGACTCTTACTGACTAAAAACCACCCCGTTCCTTCTCCTGCACGTCGAGCCGGAGCCCCGGTTACCTGTTAGGTTCTCCGCGACAAGGGGTAGGTAGAGGTGAACATTGCGGCACTTAATGCCACTGTACGATGTAACACCCACTTTTCATTATTTATGTTATAAGTCCCATGTAATAGGGGGTGAGCCTATTGCTATATACCGGGCAGAATTCCGGACTCCGTGCTACTGATAATGATACTGATGATGAACAGAAAACTAAATGATATGGAATTGCCGTTTGGCTAAAGGCGCTGAGGCGTGCAGTCAATTTAAATTTTGAAATTAGAAAGAATTAAAAAGAAAAATCGGTTAGACAGAGTACAGAGTATGACAACATTTGACACATTGATACCAAATATAAAACTGTTTACTAGAATCAATCGCTTCCACATCAATATTTCACTCAAAACCTAGTATCAATGTATAAACTACCTATATACCTAGATATTCCGAGGCCGTCTCACCTAAGTAGTTCATGTCTCGGTTTTGACATATTCTCCGGGGCATACAAGAGCGAAGGTAATATGTGTACAGTCCGTTTTAGTACCGGACTAGAATAATTATACGGAGACAGAGGTTGATTTAACTCGTCGCAGAACACAGATCCACGCGGGACACAATGTATATTCTATTGTGTCTACATATACCGGCAGTCAAGAGGTTAAAGGTACTGTTACACATGCTAATTACAAGCACAAAAGCATGCTTCAATTGGGTACTCGCCAACTAGTCAAATTCAATACATCTTTCGAACTGTCAAAGACGACAGTTTTCAATGAATTTTGTACGAGATTGTGTATTATGACGTCACGTTTTTTAGCGTCGAATAGCATACTTATATGGATTTTATAATAACTATCGTGAGACATACTAAATTAACTAAAAACTAGTAGAGCTTTTCTCAGTATATTTACGTGAGTAACCCGCGATTTTTAATTAATTTAGCATACTTATTTCTTAAAAATTTGCTGTAAATATATTAGAATTAAGTTGGTCATAAAATCAATTATTTAAAATATGATTATTTTTTATATTTTGTTGTATTGAACAGTCGAAATAATCTATTTTTGATAAGGAAGGAAAGTATTCAATTGTGCACTTGTCACTTGGTAGCATGTGTGTCGGAATGTTGTTCAAAATTAACATGCTCATTTTGGACATGCTAGTGAATCGACAGGCGTTCGATTTTTGAACATTTTTGAGCATGCTCAATAGGACGCCTTTTGCGATATGTTAGAGCATATGCAGCAGTACCTTAAAATCAGAGAACTTTTTTTTTCTCTGTGATGAGCCGACGTTTCACCATTATCTCGCCTGCAGGTAAGCGATGATACCGTCTACGATGGAACACGTCGTCCCATAAGCAACCTATTCACTCGGCCTTGAAGACGCCCAGGTTATACCCTTCAGGAATTACTACATCTAATCAATCAATTTAACTCCTTAGCAGTACAAGGAAGCTTGATGCGAAGCGCTTCGTGCGTTTGGGTGGGACATCTACCATGAATCGGTGACGCTTCGCCGATTGTCTTTTGGTACGATGATGGAAAGGACTAGGGGGAATCAAGTTGTCTAATTCTCCCGCACACTCACCGAAATGTATCCGGTAGAAAACTGAAAGGCTTGCAACCTTACTCCTGTGTTCGAGGCTTTGAAGCCGGGCCTCCACAAGTGCCTCTTGGCAAGCCTTTCGATGTGGTCTAACGCGTCCAGCATATATATATCTGAGCCGTCCTAAAGATGGGAACAAGAACAAGCCTCCTCGGTAAGCACTTTATAATTCACCTCCGATTTTCTATTGGCGCCTCTGCCACTCTATCGGTACATGGTCCATGCGTCTCGCGGCGCCCCTCAGTGACCTGGCGCCCTACGCACTCGCCGAGTTTGCCTTAGGGACAATACGGTTCTGTACGTAGGTACTGAGTTGTGGACCCTAGTTATAAAGTTATGATGTAAGTTTTGAAGGGTGCTCTGTACTCTTACATGAGTTGAGGCAGGTAAGGTAATGTTATGTGCGTGTAGGTATGTAAGGAGGAAATTATAGTGTATTCTTTTGAGAAGTGTTGATAAAGTTTATGGTAGTAATATTTCTATATTTAATATAGATTAAGTGTATACAAAAATGTTTCAATGAAACTGTTACATACCGACAACAAGCATAAAAGTATTCTAGTAGAACTTTATTGAGGATCGTAATAGTCTATGTATTTCTGTTTCTTGAGTCTGTGGCACATAATACTAACTGATAAGGACAAACATAAGATTCAACATGTTTATAAATAGTTACCTTTATCAGTGGCCTATAGATAATCTAACCACAGACATTATCAAAGGTTTTCTAGTCTTAGAAGATCAAATATACATTAAGTCGGCATAGATTCATATTCATTTGTACTTTAGTCTAAATATGTAAACTAGTGGGATTCTCATTTAATATTCGAGTGCCTCTGAGGCTATTTAAGCCGTCTGAGCTCGACTATCTCGACTATCGATATTGGGATTTAGTCGTTATGAGTACTATTCTGATTATGATTCGAGACGAGAATTTCAATACAATCATTTAGTTTATTGGTGGATTTTACATAATGTGAGAGGTTTTTCTATCAATATGTTTCTTTAATGAACATTTTAAAATGTGACGGACCCATTTCTTTCATGTTCAATTCATAAAGGGTCATACAAGAATATGTTTTCTAATACATCATTTTTATATGCAATATCAAAAACGAAGGCTTGACATACCTAAGTTAAAGTTATTATAACAAAGCGTGATATAAATTATTAAAAAAAATATAAATAATACAAAGAAACGTTTTCTATTCGCAAACAATATCAGTTGGATCACTAAATAATACAATACGGCGTAAAAAGTGTTGCGTGTTGCCGCCATTCATGTGTTTTTAAGAAAACTCCGTTGAAATTGAATAAAAAGCTATTTATATTTTACTATTTACACGATAACTGTGAAAATAGTGACGCAGCGTAATTTGATTATAGTTATAAATATCACGCTAGTGTAGGCAGATAGATGTGACTTAGGTACTTGACTTGACTTAACTATAGTCCTATGTGCCCTAGATGGGGCAGAGGGTGTCCACAGAGGTTCTCCATCTCGATCGGTCTTGAGCTTCTTGCTTACCTCGCTCCACGTCATTCCGATTCGCCGCTTCTGCTATCACAGTAAGACGCCAGGCAGGTAGATGTATAAGTAAATAATAAAAAAAAATATGTATAAATAACCTCATACGAACGAACGCTGTGATGGGAAAAATATGCGAAATCAGAGTTCTGTAGATCAAAATTTTATCGAACCAAAACTCGATCATTATTTAAAAAGGATACAATGAAGTTATTTAGACATCTATTTTTTCTTTTTTTTTTTAAACGTTGCCCCACACTAGTATTTTCTCCTGTGTCGTGGGTCGTTTACAAACACAATATCACATACACACGACACCCAGACCCGGAACAATAATCTGTGGATCACACAAAGAGCTGTTCCGTGTGGGAATCGAACCCGCGTCACGTTGCGCGGCAGCCAGTTGCCGAGCCACCGCGTCAACCGTGCAGTCTATCTACATAGGTATGAATTTTGTTACTAAGCATACTTTTTATACAAAGTAGAAAGATCACTGTCATAAAAACCTAGATCTCAACACCAACACACCTCCCTACATCCCACATCGATCCCTTAAAATTATGACTAGACCTCTCTTTACTAGGCAGTAAAACAACCCGCAAGTTTATTCACAAAAACCCTTTAATACATGAACCACTTACGTAATAGTAAAAAAATAGTTCAAACCTTGTACGCGGATACAACAAGTCTGTACAGTCAGCCTACATACTTCTTAGTACTTAAGACTTAGTACTTTCTAAGATTATTTAGACAGCATTGACAAACAGTGAAGGAAATCATTGTTTCTTTTTATGCATTAAGCCGATAAACGAGCAGACAGATCACCTGATGGTAAGCAATCGGCGTCGCCTATGGACACTTGGAAAGCCAGAGGCTTTACAAGTGCGTGACCGATCTTTTGTGGATTAGGAGTTTAAGAATTCATGGATTGGAGGTGGGGGGGGGGGGGCTAATTGGGCCTCCGGTAACCTCACTCACATGACGAAACACAACGCAAGCGTTGCATCACGTCAGTTTTCTGTGAGGCCGTGGTATCACACCGGTCGAGCCGGCCCATTCGTGTCGAAGCATGGCTCTCCCACACAAGTATACAATTGAGTACAGCTTCTGTTTCAAACTGTATTTTCTTTACCACACTTAGTTGACTGTACATACATTTAACTGTACTTGAATAAATGATAAGAGAGTTTAACATCCATTAGAGCAGGTGATAAACTAGCCAAGGAATTGCCTAAAGAGGATGAGGGTAGACAGGCAAGCCATTTATCGTAGTACTTGCCTTTAGTAATATTGTTAATTTGCCATTGAAGGGGACACGTATTGTGTGTTGTTGGTACACTAGTAACGCAAGTACTGTCGAGAAAATTCAGTCAATTGTAAATATTAGGCAGGTCTCTGTTAAGTTTTGATGTTTTGCATGTACTTATTTATAATTTTAGTAAAACAAATATTAGTATTATATATTAGTAGTATAGAGGTAGTATAGTGTGTCGTGGTGGCCCGGAGGTTAAGACGCCCGCTTGTCATGCATGAGGGTGCGGGTTCGAAACCTACCAACGGCAAGTACCAATATGACAATATTATAAGATTATTTAGTTAGACACCACTGACAAACGGTGAAGGATAACATCGTGAGGAAACCTGGACTCATAATTTCTAATTATAAGTTTGAAATCGCCAACCCGCAATGAGCAAGCGTGGTGATTAATGATCAAACCTTCTCCATGTGAGAAGAGGCTTTGCTCAGCAGTGAGCATTTAATGGCTGTTGATGATGATGATGATGAAATATTAGTAGATTCGGTCAGAACAGTTGCATGTTTTTGGCTTGCTGATAAACTCCAAGGAACATATATTTTTGATTTATTTATTTATGCACAACACACAGGCAGTACACAGGAGATTACATTTATAAATAAATTGGAGGTACATAGGTACTACATATTCCCGTAGGAATCTCTTCCTGCAGTCCTTTGACAACAGTAAAAACTAAGACACTGTGTGTAACATGGCATGAACAACAAAAAAAAACAAAAATTACAAAATTTAAGCCAATAAGTACTTAAAACTACATACACAAAATATAACCGATAAATAATGTATTGAATAAATAGATGTCAATAAAATACATATACCTATACGTACGATAGATACACATCAAATAATACACATAGGTATGAGATATACACATATTATCTTTCGGGTTTCAACGTAAATAATCTTAGGTATTGTAATGTAATTCGTTGTTGGTATTGGTATAACATAGCTTATTTTATTTTAAGAAAATGATATATATAACATCACGCCTTTTTATCCCCGAAGGGGTAGGCAGAGGTGCACATAGAAGTAACACCCACTTTTCACTATTTATGTTATGAGTCCCATGTAATAGGGGGTGAGCCTATTGCCATATACCGGGCACAATTCCAGACTCCGTGCTACTACTGAGATTTTTTATAAAACCCAGTAATACTTTGCCCGACCCGGGAATCGAACCCGAGACCCCTTGCCCGGCAGTCGCACTTGCGACCACTCGGTCAACGAGGCAGCAATTACTTAGAATAGTTTTTAAGAAAACTATTCTAAGTAATTTGTTAGGTATACCGCCTAGCTTTCACGAATACGTATTCGTTTCCGAAAAATAGTTCCAAGGCCACACGTGGCATTGCTCAAAGTATTCCAGAACAATTTCCTGGCCATAAAACTTATGCCATAAACCTGGTGCACTAGATATGATATTTTATTTAATTTTTTATTTATTTATTTACACTTCATGTAGGTATACAAAGGCGGATTTAATGCCTAGTGGCATTCTCTAACAGTCAACCTTAGGGTGATGCAGAGAGACACAATAGTAGGTTTAATATCTGAGTTACAAATAAGTGTGGGAGCCATGCTTCGGCACGAATGGGCAGGCTCGACCGGAGTGATACCACGGCCTCACAAAAAACCGACGTGAAACAACGCTTGAAATGTTTCGTCGTGTGATTGAGGTTACCGGAGGCCCAATTACCCCCCTCCCCAATCTCCCCAAATCCCTGAATCCCCAACAATCCTCAAATTCCTAATTCCCTAAAGGCCGGTAACGCACTTGTAACGCCTTGGTGTTTAAGGTGTCTATATGGGCGGCGCCGATTGCTTACCATCAGGTGCTCCGTATGCTCGTATACCGGCTTATGCCATAAAAAAATCAAAAATGTCCTGATAACATATTACGTTCTATTCTATTTCTATCCTACTATGAGTCTCTCACGCAAAGACTACTGAACGGATTTGAACGTAATTTTTATTCTGAAACCGCGATCAAATCCGCTGGCAGAAGTTAGGGCCTATACATTTTTGAGCAAATAAAAAAAAACAATTAAACATCAAATATTTGTGATTGGCTCATTGGAGATAAAATATTTGTTTTTTCATTGTTCTAATGTTTAAAAATGTGGCCTACATACTGAAATACCTACGAAAAAAGAGCCTTTTTGTCTGTCGTCTTATTACTATGTAAAATGTAATGAAAACAATATTATATTTTCGTGTTTATTACTTTTAGTTGTAGTTTTACTCTTGAGGCTTTAGGCCGGTTAACAAATTGCCATGATGCTTTGAAGACGCGAGTGAAACCCGCGAAAACTTGCCAGTATATTATATCCAGCCAGACACAACACCACTTTCCATAAACAATAAGTACAATAACATAAAATATTCATCTATTCCGCGGTGTCTGTTGTTTATGCTAGCACATAGGATATATATAGGCCTTACAAAGCATATAATGTTAGTAAATCTTCCGCGCAATATATGAGAATACGCCTATACACCGCTACCTCATAACTTGTTTTCTATTTACCAACATAGGTACATTTGCGTGAACATTCAATATTTTGGCCTGGCCTCACAAAAAATGAGTAGCTAGGGTACTCGTCATATGGATTTTCTGTTATAGCTTAGAGACAAAAGGTATGTCACTGTTATATAAAATGGTGGCCGTATATCATTGTTATGTACCTATTTATATGTATGAAGTTCTGTTTCATTCTTCTCGGTGTATTGAATTTAGAATTTATATTTTTTTTAATTTGGTTTTCAAAGTTTCCGTGTAACATTTTTTCAAAGGGTCTTAAGGGTCTATATTTTTCGTGATTAGGATACTATGTGTACTTTTCAAATTGATCAAATTACATACTTCACGCCTATCTCCCAATTTGATCAAATTATACTTATTTAATGTTATTTTAGGTAAATATACGGCAAATCTGTCTATTTCATTTTCTTGTCTAATTAATGACAAAGAGCAAGCATAACCATTAAAGCTATCGTTTTAAGTCTTAACAAGCGCACAAGGAAACAAACACGATTCCCAAAACTGATTCTAAAACCGTGCCGTTAGCAAGCTTGACTAGTTTCTTTGATGTTTCAAAGGATAATCGGATTATATTGACATCTCTCTACCCATACTGATACTATTCCATTGGAAAGTTCCAAAGTTTAGACATACCTGTTAAATTATGTATAGTATTCCGTATATTTATTTAAAATCCTCTATAAATACATTTTTAATTACTACTTACAAAATAAAAAAATGATATTAATAATATAAAAATAGGAGCCGACCCGTAGCGGGATCATGGTCCAAGCTACCGGTGGTTAGGGATCCAGAGACAGAAACCTCCTCACGATACGTGCCGTTTCAAGGAGAACTGTCTTCTGTAGGACGCCCTTGATCCATCCACCTAACGCCAGCCTCCTGAGGTGGATGTCGAGGCTTTAAGGGATTAACCCATTGGTCGACACGACTATAGGCGCAATGATAGCCGCATTCACACTCCACATGTCGACAACCTCGTGAGCTAAGTCTAGATATTTTATTTGTTTATCTTTCTCAACTTTCACGAGGTTCTCGTCATGGGGATTGGTGATGGTTTTACCTTGGAAAATAGACAATTAACTCGTCGAGTACCGGTTTTATAGACACAATTAAAGAACAATAGGTCGCGGTCACCGGTGACCGCTTGGTGTTTGATAGTTTAAATAAAATAAATCCCATGCAAATGGAATCGCGGTCAAAAGGTATTAACAGTACTGACTACATACGTACGAAAAATAACCTTTTTTGTTTTTATTACTGCTCAGTTGCATAATTCTATGCATTCCCAGTTCATACGCAAGTCTTTGAGCGGTAATGTCGTTCTCGTTTGATAATTTAAATCTCGACCTTATACACACGGCGTAGGTAATCAAATTGCAAATATTCACGGTACCTGCAGAGCGTCGCCTTTCGCGGGCTGAATCTCAAATTACTGCTGCCGCTGGGCACTTTTGTGTCTTTTCTTGTCTATTTTTTGCTGGCTGGATGTTTACGATTAGTAGTGCAGTTCCGTGTGATGATGCTAAGTGTGAACGAACTTATGTTTGCCAAAAAGTAATGCTAGATCAACTGATCTATGTATAGAGGATTAGAGAGTAATCGATTCCTAAAGAACAGTTGGGACTAGTAAAATAATGTTAAATCTTTTAAAGACAGATAAAAATTCGCAACCATTTTTGAAAACCGCTATCCTTTTCCAATTCTTTCGTACTTTAATGTTTATATCTTTCAGAAGAAGTTAACCGATTTGTCACCATTATTTAAATTTAAACTTTGCACCGTTTCGTTGCCGCATCCATTCTCGATGTTGTTCGACGTTTGAATAACAACCCCGGTGCCATTTTTATTCTTCAAGCTTGTCAAAGTTTCGTTGCTAAAATACGAGAGTGATAAAAGACTATATTTTTGAAACCATTAAAAATTCTCATCAAATAAAAAGTTATGTTCACGATTGTTGTTTCTTTATCCCGAGAGAAGTATAAATTCGTATGTATCATATTTTTGACAATTAAAGCCTGCACAGACGAGCGACTTTTGTCTGCCGACGACTGAAATAAAAAAAAACATATGTAACAAGTTGATATTGGATGGCCCAAATCAACAGTATTACATACGTTTTTTTTTAAATCAATCTATTTGCTTGAATGGTTCAGCATTTTCTCTTCCTGTGTAACATTTCTGGATCATTTTCGTTGAAAAATCGTTCAGTTTTTTTTTATATTTGA